TAATAAAAGCCATTCTGAAGTAGGTCACAGTGGCATACTTTTCAGTTGTTGTTGTTGTCATCCGAAGACCAAAGATGACATAATTTGATAATTCTAAGCCAATTAATACCGGAAATATTTAATTAAACCCATATAAATTTTCAAAAGTAGGTCAAGGTGACCTTTTTTTTTAAATTGTTACACTCCGAGGACACAAGTTACATTAACTTACAAAATTTGATAATTCTAAGCCATTTACTACGTGAAATACATAATTTAGGCTATACAAATTGGAAAATAGGTCACGATGACCTACTTTTCAGTTGACGTTGTTTAAGGTCCAAAGATGCATCAGCTTACATTTTTTTATTATCATAGGCCTTAAAATGTCAAGATTACATGTATGGCTCAAAAACGTTTGAAATCAAATGCCTGCAAGGTTCAAAAAGTAGATCAAGGTGACGTCATTTTTCATTGACGTAGTCCGAAGACCCAAGATGCATCAACTAAAAATGTTTGAAAATCATAGGCCTAAATTGTTTAAAATATGCCTCCAAATAATTTTTCAAAGAATGGCCGCAAAATTTAAAAAAGTCTGTCACCGTGACCTACTTTTGAGTCAACATGATAAGAGGTCTTCCGATTAACTTACAAAATTTGATGATCCTAGTGCTTTTAGAAAGCACTATATCAACAACTTTTTAAGAAAATATTATTTTTGTTCAACTTTTAAGTGACCTTCGTCTTTCGCCCCAAAAGTGATGCCTTGAACAATTTTTAATCTACATCCTTGTTTGTAAATTTGGTGAAATCTGCCCAGTCGTTTCTTGAGATTTTTTAGCATCCAGTACTTTTGTTTCTATTTTTCTAGTTATCTACCCTTGTTTAAGGGTCACAACCCTAGTTTTAGTATAAACAAGAGCTCTTGGACCAAGGATACGCTGAAACAAATTTGACAATTATTAGCCAAGGAGTTCTTGAGTTATGGTCCATATTCTAAAAGTTTATGTACATCATACAAGTGGCCATGGCTCTGAATTTCGAGTTTTCCTTTTTAAGGAGCGATTTTTAAGCGTAAAAATCTTCTCAAGATCAACAAAGCCTTGATTGATGATAATAATATGGGAATATCCTCCTGCAGAGTTAATTCCAGTTTGTTCATATAATGACCCCTGTGGGTAGAGTGGAGTCATAATAGGCAATCAAAGCTTTACATAGAATAGAAATATATAGAAAAAAATCTCTTAAAACAGCCAGGCCTCCGCATTATTGGTGATATCTATATAATGGAAGCATCCTCAGGTAGTGTAGTTCAAGATTGTTCAAATCAGAATTCTTGGGGTTAGGATGGGAATGTGGGATCAATTTTTACATACATATAAGGAATATATGCTAAAATATCTTTAAAATTTTTTTCTGGAGAAAACCAAATCCATGATGATTAGTAATTCTTAAACCGAGTATATAAACTTATGGAATATCCTCAGGTGGGTTCGATTCGATTAAGTTTTACAATGGAATACCGGGGTATATAGGAAAATTTTTCTAAGAACAGCAAGGCCTTGATTAGTCATTTTTATTGAAGCATCCTCAGGTGGTTGAGTGGGGCAACAATGGGGGGGGGGGGGATCAAAGTTCAACATAGGAATATATAGGAACAATCCTCCCAAGAACAGCAAAGCTATTATTGGTCATTTTTGCATTGAAGCATGCTCGGTAGATTCAAGGTTTTTTTTCTTTTCATGATCCCTGGGGGTAGGATAGGGCGATAATGAAAATTCAAACTGGAACAAAAAAAGTTACAGTTAACAAAAAAAACTAGAGGTATTGTGAGCGATGAGCTCACTAAATGATACCCCCGCCTCCATATACATGTATTGGTCACTTGGGAACTTACATTTTGGAATGTGTTTACCATGTTTACGCCATCTAAAGTGCAATAAACAAGCATGTAACAGTCTGTTATAAAATGCAGTGTCACTTTTGTTCCATAAATAGTAGAGGGTTGATATTTGGAGACATATATAAGGTGTCTCCATTCTTTATGTCCTACAAAGGCCAAGGTCATATCAAGAGGTCAAAGGTCAAATATTGTCACGTCATCTACTGAATCTTTTAGTTTTTTTTTGCCATTGAATTTTTTTTAAATTGCCAAAATATCTAAAACCACGGGTTCAATTGTCTTTTTTTTTTGTGGATTTTTGTAAAAATTGAATTATACATTTTCTCATAAGAAAACTTAAACAGTCGAAAATTTATCTGTGAATTTTTAATTCCAACGCTACACATGTTCTATTTTTACTTAATATTTTACTCAAATTTTCCAGTATCAATATGATTTACTGATTTAAAGTAACACAAAAGTTATCTTTATTAAAAGTATTACACAAATTTGCAATAGATCAATTGATAATTCTAAAATAAGGCTCATTCTCAAGGAGTGTCTGATTTCACAATTTTCTCACGGGGGTCTGATAGGCCATATTTCAGACTATGTGGGCAAAAAATGTGTGGTTGAATTTCTTTCATATCATATATAAAAAGAGATTTTGTATCCTAGAACAAAACATCAAAGTTTCAGAAAAATTGGATTTGGGGAAAATTTTGGCCTATCTATTGTGTCCTACCTTAAATAGTGTAGTCTACTTGTATGCCAAGTTACATTGAAATCTGACAAAATTGTATAATGAGTAACATTTTCAGAATATTTCAAAGGGATTTCTATTTTTAGTACCCATTGCAACACCGCTCAACGAAACAAAAAGATGATAAGCAGAATTATGTACTTTGGTGAAGTCTACTTTTGTGCCAAATTATAAAAATCAGACCATAACTGTAGTAGGAGTGGCATTTTAAATACCTGTCAAGGAAATCTTTAGAAACCATGGCAACACCTTTTTGAAATCAAAAATGGTCATCTAGATTTGAGTGTAGTCTACTTGTGTGCGAGTTACATGTATATTAAAATCTAACAAAAACTGCAGGAGAAGTAACATTTTGAAAAATTGTTTACAGACAGACAGACGGACACGTTACTATCACATATAAGCTATTTTGGTCTTCAACCAGCAGAACTTAAATGTATAAAATATTTACTGTACACCAACTTTTATTCACAACAGCTTTATTTCGCATTTTACCGAGGATAGTTCGCAACAATTAATTTTCACGATCAAGCCTATTTTGGATCTGTTCTTAATAGGCAAATAGTCTCTATTATGTTCTAATTCGAACAATCTCAACCGAACATAGAATATTTATACCCTCATTCAACCAGAAGTCTCTGTCGAGACTGTAGCTCTACTGGTTTGTACTTATCAAAAACCATTGCACTATTTTATGTATCTTTGTGTAGTCTACTTGTGTGCCAACTTATTTGAAATCAAACTTAAACTGTAGAAGGAGTAGCGCTTTAAAGGAATTTCACAGAAAATTCTATTTTTAGTAACCATGGTAACACCGTTCATCGAAATCAAAAACCGATGCACTATTCTATGTATCTAAGTGTAGTCTACTTGTGTGCCAAGTTAAATTGAAATCAGACCAACACTGAAGAAGTAGTAGCGTTATTAAGGAATTTCACAGAAAATTCTATTTTTAGTAACCATGGCAACACCGTTCATAGAAATTAAAAACCGATGCACTATTCTATGTATCTAAGTGTAGTCTACTTGTGTGCCAAGTAATATTGAAATCAGACTAAAATTGTAGGAGGAGTAGCGTTTTGAAAAATTGTTTACAGACAGACGGACAGACAGCTAGATGGACGGAAGCCGGACGCATTACTATCGCATAAGCTCTTCTGGTCTCTGACCAGTAGAGCTAAAAATCAAAACATAACACCTGTATTATGGGTAGCAGCTCCAAGACCTGTGCATTTAATTGACGACATTGCTCAACATTTAATAAAGTGCTTCAATAACATTCACAAACATTAATATTACATCAACACAAGAAATAGCTTACGGGAGGGAGGGGGGGGGGGGCGAATTGTGACTGAAAAGCACGCAGTCTTGAGCTCGAATGACAAAACACAAAGAACACACCTTTATTAACATTACCAGCTAACCGGTCATACAAGTATTCCTACTCACTCAGGTAAAAATATATAGAATAGCGTGTTTGAAAAGGAATCGTACGATTCTAACTTTAGATTTATTTCAACCTGTTATAAATATATAAGACCGGTTCGCGGTGAAAATTTTGCGATGACGGAGCTTTCGCGAAAATATCCTGCACGCAAATAACAGTTGGTTTACAGTACTAGTAGTAAGCTCTGATGAACACCATTGTCTACTCTAGTGACATGCATTCATTTCGTTTAGAAATTAACTCAAGACATTTACATTTCATATTTTGTTTATGTATATCTCATATTTCATTAGAAATCTCAGATGTATATTGGAATAAATTTTTTCTCAAGATATATTCAATATAAATATCCTTAAGCTTAAGTATCTCGTTCTGTTTCTTGATTTCTTATGTGTCTCTTTAAACATGCTTTTCATTGAACATTAAGCACATTCCATGTACAGTAAAACACGGTTATAGTGAAGTCCTGCGGACCTGTTAATTTAATTCGCTATATCCGTAATTCGTTATATCCGTATAACAAATTCGTATAACCATATATTGCGAATTCGCAATATGCATGTTTTCCTTCAAGTGTTACTATCAAATATGTTCGGGAAGCAAATATTACAAAACATACCTTCGATAACTAAGGTTTTATTATGAATTAAATTTTATATACAAATGCTGAGAAAAAATAAAGTCAGTTCAATTATTCAAATTTTGAAATCTTTGAAAGTTCGTTATAAAAGATGTAAAATTCATTATATTTAACCTCCATGGGACTCAAAATCAGTTCGCTATATCAGTAAATTCGTTAAATCAAAGTTCGTTATAACCGTAAAATTTTACAAAGATTTGTTAAGAATTTTGCCGGGGACCCAGAAACACTTCGTTATATCTGTGAATTTGCTATATCCGTGTTTGTAGTAAACATGTTTTACTGTATTTGAAATTATAGGTTTTTTTCATTGTGTATCCTCATGCATCTCCGCTATAAATAAACTAATTAATGACTGGCTGTATTACTTCCCATTGACACTACATCTTAGACTATCACCTGTTTGAATGTGTTCTCCTGTGTCTTTTAAAGCAACTTGGATCAGAGAATGCCTTCCCACATACATCACATTTACAAGGCTTTTCACCTGTATGTGTCCTCATGTGTTTCTGTAAGGACTGTGATTGGTTGAATGCCTTCCCACATACATTACATTTATAAGGCTTATCACCTGTATGTGTCCTCATGTGTCTTTGTAGGTCAATTAGCTGTTTAAATGCCTTCCCACATTCATCACATTTAAAAGGCTTATCACCTGTATGTGTCCTCATGTGACTCTGTAAGTGGTGTGACTGATTGAATGCCTTCCCACACATATCACATTTATAAGGCTTATCACCTGTATGTGTTCTCATGTGTCTTTGTAAGTTCTGTGACTGGTTGAATGCCTTCCCACATACATTACATTTATAAGGCTTATCACCTGTATGTGTCCTAATGTGTATTTTTAAGTTCTGTGAGTGGTTGAAAGCCTTCCCACACACATCACAAGAATTATCACCTGTATGTGTTAACATGCACCTGTATAAATTTTCACTCTGATTAAACACCTTATCACAAACAGTGCATTTATAAGGATTTGTTACAGAAATCAATTTTGTGCTCTTGTCATTCACAGTTGTATTCTCTACATGATGTATGTTGTTTGATATTTCTTTTGAGGAAGAAAATATTTTTTCAGAATATTTGCATTTATCTCTAGGTGGTTCTTCAGAAATTTTATCTTCCCATTCAATATGCCTAGAATATGCAGGTTTTGATATATTGTCACCAATGATGATGTTCTTAGTCACTTCCGTATCAGTAAGGATGTCAGTAAATCTCCTTTTCATTTGTCTTTGAACCTGTATGAAAAAGTTTAAAATCATTACTAATTGCAGTAACAAAGTTAATTTCTATTATAATTAACAAATTCTGTACTCATGTGACATTATTGGTCTGTTGTTCTTCAATCTAATTAAAATCATGTTAGATCTGCTCGCATACTCGCTACACTAACATATAACAACATCCCAATACAGGGTCACGTTAGGGGTCAAATTCTATCAACCAATCAAATCACCGCCTGCAAAATCATCGTTAATTTGTTGACGTAATCGAAAAGATTAAGTCTAGAGTTGTTCCGAATTTGAACTCTGACATTACCTACTATGGGATGTTGTTAGATGTTAGTGTAGCGAGTATGCGAGTGGATCTAACATCTAATTCAAATTAGATTGGTTGTTCTTGAGATAGTTTCTCATCCTGCATTCCATTTAGGCCATCCATAAAAAAATGTTTCGATTACGGGGCATAAAAATCTGACACAAATTGGAAAGTCAATCAATATCTTATGTTTATTGTAAAAATAACTGGAAACTCACCTGGCACTCTGCAGATCTAACTGAATGTGAACAGACACTATTTTCTTTTCCTATCTTTTGGCAATGCAAAACATGTCTTTTAAGGAAGTCAGAGGTACTAAAGCAGAGTTTACAATGCTGGCAAGGAAATATATCTGCATTAAAAGACATTAATATATAAATATGTACATGTATATATATGTTTATAGATTTTACATATATTAATTTTTTTTTTAAAGTTCAGTTTAAGGCCACACCCAGGGGCTGACAAATGGATTTTTAAGGCACTTGTCCAAGGGCAAGTACATGGTAAAAATTGAATTGCCCTACCTGAATTTTTGCTTGCCCTACCATAAACTAATTTTGTATTTTTTAGATATTTCAAAAAAAGAGGAAGACGAATGCTGAGTAAATCATGCAAGCCCCCATGTCCAGATTTAAATTTATGGCCTACGAATAAATTCTATTTTTGATAAATCACTTGCCCACGGGCAAGTGGTTGATAAAATTTCACTTGCCCACCCCTAAAATTCACTAGCCCCAGGCGTTGGGCAATGGGATTTGTCATCCCCTGACACCAATTTAATTTCTTGTTAGTTGTACATTTGATGAAAAAAAGTAAGAGTGGTCAAGTGGTTACATAATAATATTATTACTTTTTTTAGACAATTTTTTTAGGTGGAGCGTGAAGAAATTTGAGCGGACAATTATATTTTTTCTGATTTACAGAGTAAGCAGATGAAAAATACGATAAATAGAGCGGAAATAGAACAGAAAATAGCACAAAATTCCCACAGTGCGGGAAATCTAAATTAATATTATTTGTCTAGTTTCGTTTAATACGAGCGTGCGGGTCCAACAAACAAAAAAAAATTATTGGTGTGGCCTAATTTTGTTTTAAAATTTATATTCCATTTCCAAAAAAAAAAAAAAATATCTTGCATCCAACCAAGTTTATATGAAGGAATTACTAGCATATAAGAAAATAAAACTAATACCCTCAGTCCTTATACATGGCTTGAAATTCTTCAACAAACTGTATCCATGTTTGTATTTACAGTGTTTTCCCATAAACTCTTTGCTGCTGAATCCCATTTGACACCAAGGACAGCAGAACACTTCTGAAAATAAAGAATAAATAAACTTATTAAATGCACAAACTTTAAAACATAGTATTTTTATTTTACATAGTGCAATTTTTATTATATATATTACTGAAGTTAAACCATTCGTAGTTTTAAAATTAGAAAAATTGTCTAGTTTTAAAATTAGAAAAATTGTCTATTTAACAATACCAAAACACCCCCAACTTCCATTTAATGGTAGATATTTCAACTTATCAGCAGGCATGCTTACGAAGCTATCTTAGGACTAAGACATATCTTAAGACGGTCTTACGACATATCTTAGTCTTAAGTGAGGCTATCGAAGCTATCCTATCTTAAGAGACCTCCTTATCTTAGTCCTAACTTTAAGACGACTGCTGACATGTCTTAAGTCATATCTTAGGTGATTTTAAGAAGCGTTGGTGTCAGTAAAACAGCTAAGAATGATTTTTTGTGTAAATAAATCAAATATTTATTGTAAATTGATGATTTCTTTAATGAACTCAATCAATTTATAAGCATTGTACCGTGTGAATGTATGCATTAGCCTGTGCACACGAAAAAGGAGAAAACAGTAAATAAAAATGCACATGCACTCATTACAGTGACGTAGCAACCGGGGGGGGGGGGGGGGGGGGGCAGGGGGCCTCACAAAATGACTTTTTTGGCATCATTACTTTTTATATTTGAAATGTTCATTGAAAGGCTGCCCCCCCCCCCCCCCCCCACTATAAACTATATGTAATTGATATCAGGGAAATGTAATATTGAATTCTAAGAAATTGGCACTGAAAGAAGTTGACATTGAAAAATGTTGGCATCTAAGCCCCCACCCCACCCCACCCCCACCCCCGAAATAGGATTTTCGATGTTGGGTAATTTTCCTTTTTTGGGGGGTTGTCAACTTTTTTTAGGTTAGTCAAAAAAAATTTTCTCTAGGCTTCCCCCCTCTACTTTCAAAAACGATGCTACGTGCCTGCATTAATTAACATGTATGCATTTAAAGATTAAATCATTGAAAAAGATTTTTTCAAGCCCTTTCAAAAAAGATAAAAATATACAACCAATTGTTTTTATTGGGGCAAAACGGAGGGTTAAAAGATCTAAGTACATACATGGTCAGAATTTAATGTCTGTGTATTGCATCAATCTGTTGCATTTCTTGGAATTAGCCGGTGTAAATAATAACAACAACATATTTTGAAGGAAAAAAAATAAAGTTAATACATGTAAGCGTGACTGCCTCTTCCTTTTCCAGAGAGAAAGAGAGAGAGAGAGAGAGAGATAGAGAGAGAACTTGCTTACCCCAAACACCCCCCCCCCCCCCTTACATCTACATATGATGGTAACTTGAAATACATGTAGGAACTTTTTGTAGTTCTTCATTTACAAAAAAGAAAAAGAAGAAAATGCCTAAGATGGAATTTACGACATCTCAACTTAGGATAATCCTAAGATGCTTTCGTTTTACAACCCAAGACGTATCTTAAGATGTGCCTAAGATATGTCCTAAGAAATATCCTAAGACACGTCTTAAGACATTTCTTAGGAAATTTTCATAAGCATGCCTGCAGAATTATAATTGTACGTTCCACTTACATTATAAAAAGCTTACCCTCTCCATTCACAATTTTGGGAGTAACATCTATTTCTTCTCGGACTATCCCTAGTTCTTTCCCATAGTCATTACCATACCATACCAAGAGCTCTGTCCCTGCAGGAATGTCTTTAAAAGATCTGTAATAGATCTGTCCTTTGTACTGAAACGCCACAACATTCTGTTCTGATTCTGATCTAGCACAGTTGACATATCTCATCCAGTTACTGACGGGTTCTTTAAAGGCATTCACAAAATGACTTGGTTGGCCCTTTTTATATATCTAGCAAATAACACAGCAAGATTGAGCAGGTGTAAACAAGAAATAAATTAGGCCTTAAAATTTTAGGGTTGCATAGTTAATATACACACAAGGAAAGTTAAAGATTAATATAAAAATGTGCACAGAGGATACAGGCCTACAAAATATAATTGCCATTATTTTACAGTAAAACATATTTCATCCATATTTTCAAATACTTTTGTAACTCTTTTGCAATTTATAGGCTTAGTAATACATATCTGTTTCAATAAAAGGGTCTATAAAGGGTCAAATAACTATTAATTGTCACCCTAAATGGTAGTGTATGAGGACTATATTTATCACCCTAAATGGCAGTATATAGAGTAGATATTTTTGAGGGTCTTAATTGTCAGAGGGTTACATTAATTATTTAACTAATAACAGGATTTGTAGTACTATATTTTGTGATGCCTGTTTAAATATTCAGAGAAATACATTGAGAAACAACAAATTTTTTGTGCCAATAAATATACATCTTTTATTACAGTTGCTATGTTGCCATCCATCTCAACTTTTTCTAGATCAGAAAGCTAAAGATTTGCAGCTAGAGTAGACTTTACCTGGATATTGGTGTTTGGACAACATACCTGCCAAGCATATCCTGTTTCTTGGGCTTCATCCCGGTTTTCAGTTATTTCTCCCTCATATGGACCAAATCTTGTTCTTTTACGGAAAAATTTATCAGCAAATACTCCTTGCCCAGCATAGAAAATATTTGACTGTCTTACTGATAAGCCATTGGGAAGGGTTTTCTTGGCTCTGTCAGGATTACCTAGGGGTTGCTAAAAATCAATCAAATTTAATAAGATTTCCCTGGCCATGCAGTTAATTTGCAAACATTGTTATAGAAGTAGATGGTTCAAATGGAATACAAAAGATTGATTTTGAAGTTGAATAAATTTATAAGAATAAAACTTAATTGGACAGTCTCGTTCTTATATCTTACCTCTGAATCAGTGACCTCTAAATGTGGACCATGTATTGGACAGTCACCTTCATGTTTCTATATCTTACCTCTGTATCAGTGACCACTAACAGTGGACCATGTATTGGACAGTCCCCTTCATGTTTCTATATCTTACCTCTGTATTAGTGACCACTAAATGTGGACCATGTACTGGACAGTCTGAGTCCCCTTCATATTTCTATATCTTACCTCTGTATCAGTGACCACTAACAGTGGACCATGTATTGGACAGTCACCTTCATATTTCTATATCTTACCTCTGTATCAGTGACTACTAACAGTGGACCATGTATGGGACAGTCACCTTCATATTTCTATATATCTTACCTCTGAATCAGTGAACACTAAATGTGGACCATGTATTGGACAGTCCCCTTCATGTTTTATATCTTACCTCTGTATCAGTGACCACTAACAGTGGACCATGTATTGGACAGTCCCCTTCATGTTTCTATATCTTACCTCTGTATAAGTGACCACTAACAGTGGACCATGTATTGGACAGTCACCTTCATATTTCTATATCTTACCTCTGTATCAGTGACCACTAACAGTGGACCATGTACTGGACAGTAGTGTTGTTACGATAGTCGCCGACTATCGAAAAATCGTCGTTTAAAGGCCCAGATCGGCGACAATCGATTGTAAATATTATCATCGATAGATCGCTATATTTTTGAAGCCGTATTTTTCAAGCCAGGCAGGTTTAACTTTTATATTCACCAAAGGGACGACACTCTAATCGGCGGTAAACAAAATGGTGAACGTGCATGGTGAAGAGGTTGAAGCCGAACTATATCCATATCCTGGTGCATTGTCTATTTAAAATACTTCTCATGATGAATAAATTTAACCTTTTTAATAGTTCAAATTATCGATTATTTAATCAATTAATTGTGTTCTTCCGATTCAATTTGATAATCGATAGTAAAATTTGTCCGATTTTACAACACTACTGGACAGTCCCCTTCATGTTTCTATATCTTACCTCTGTATCAGTGACCACTAAATGTGGACCATGATCTGGACAGTCTCCTTCATGTTTTATATCTTACCTCTGTAACAGTGACCACTAACAGTGGACCATGTATTGGACAGTCACCTTCATGTTTCTATATCTTACCTCTGTATCAGTGAACACTAAATGTGGACCATGTATTGGACAGTCCCCTTCATGTTTTTATATCTTACCTCTGTATCGGTGACCACTAAATGTGGCCCATGTATTGGACAGTCACCTTCATGTTTTATATCTTACCTCTGTATCAGTGACCACTTACAGTGGACCATATATTATACTTGACAGTCACATTCATGTTTTATATCTTACCTCTTTATCAGTGACCACTAAATGTGGACCATGTACTGGACAGTCCCCTTCATGTTTCTATATCTTACCTTTGTATCGGTGACCACTAAATGTGGACCATGTATTGGACAGTCACAGAGCTGCCAACATTCTGAAATGACAAATAGTAAGGCAAGGTCCGGAGACCGCCTTAGCCCCAAGCCGCTAAAGATTATTTTTTTATTTCTAAATGGACATGTAATGGGTGCAATTTGAGGCATGTTTCTATTTTGTTTACTTTGAAACATTGACATAAAAACAATTGGCCTTCTAAAACTGAAGCAACAACACATTAGCAAGCATTGAAAGGATTATGAATATTTAATTATAATAGTAGAAACTGTAGTTTGCCAGCTATGAAAATTCCGGTATTATAAACTTTGTTCGAGAAAAAATGAAATCAGAAGAATATGGACAGAAATCGTAAGGCGTATTTTAGATGGTAATTTCGTAAGACTTATGCCAAAATCGTAAGGGTTATGGCAGCTCTGCAGTCACCTTCATGTTTCTATATATCTACCTCTATATCAGTGACGACTAACTGTGGACCATGTATTGGTCAGTCACCTTCATGTTTTATATCTTACCTCTGTATCAGTGACCACTAAATGTGGACCATGTATTGGACAGTCACCTTCATGTTTTTATATCTTACCTCTGTATCGGTGACCACTAACAGTGGACCATGTACTGGACAGTCCCCTTCATGTTCCTGATTACATTCCTCACAGTCTACATGAAATAGAAACACTTAAAGTAATATATGCCGTATGGATGCCGATTTGTATGTGAAACAAAATGATTAAATGATTTGAAACACATAAAGTGTAGTGAAAAATAATATTTCCACAAAATTTAACTATAAAATTCGTTGTAATAACAGAATAATAAAGCAATATCTGCAATCAAGAATTCAGTCTTTTCATGAATATTGATAAAGGAAGTGCGTAAACAGTAGGTCTAAATATAGACACATATGTCCACGGGAAATTAAAGACGACGATGCACGTTGCGTTTTGACAACGATTATTAATAAAAGGTTAATATGCGTCGTAACAGAGTATAGATGGTTGATACTGATTACATTTAAAGATAAGTTATATTTATAGTAACACGCCATCCATGTCAAAAGTGAGTTGTATCTCAAAGGGCTTACCTCGTTTTCTTGACGCCGTGTTTGTTTATCAGTCTAAAAGTAGCGACGGTGTCACGTGGTGGATTTACTTAAAAATAGACATTATTCTCCTTGCAGGATAATAAATAATTATAATTTGATAACCATGATAACTTTATAACGAATTTTATTTAATTGGTGTAATTTACATCATTTTCGTAACTTTTATTGGTAAACAAAATATATAAATTTCCAGCCGTATTTTAAAATGGCGCACGTTATAGCGTATATTACTTTAATATAGCACAACCATAATATTTTGAACCCATTCCTCTGTACCAATGAAATAAAATTGGCATTATTTTAACTGTAGGGTTTGGGTAATATGAAAAAAAATGTATTAAAGGGGGTCAATGTATGTGGCTAAGCAATATTTAATTTAATTTTTTTTTTTGAACTTTCACATTTATATCAAAGAAGTGTAAACAAAGGTATATTCACATACATATATCTTCATTCAAGAACCTATTCTGAGTAGCACATACGGGTATTAAACTTGCATCAAGATACACACATTAACATAATTTACACATCTAGACAAAGCAAAATTTTATTTGTTCATGGCATGGCAATTTCCTTGGTTATACTCATTATCATTGTAGATTTTATGAATATGCTTAATTTCTGTTCATGGGTATATAAATTGGTAGTTAAGGTGAGTCAATTGAAATCCCAAACATTGGTCCCCCAAGAACCACGATGACTCCAAATTATCCATCATTCTGATTCAGTTATAATAATTTCAATCCCACCTCTGAACTACTGGATTTTTGCAACCAAAACATCTCAAACTCTTCACAGTACTCTCACACAAAAAATGAACACAGTTTACGGCTCTATATGTCAACATTTAGCAAAGCCAGAGCTGCCAACATTCTGAAATGACAAATAGTAAGGCGGGGTCTAGGGACCACTTAGGCCCCCTTCCGCTGAAGATGTTTTGTAAATGGTCATGCAATCTGAGGCATATGTTTACATTAAAACATTGTCATGAATATGTTTGCCTTCTAAAACTGAAAGGATGATACAAGCAAGCATTGTAAGAATTATGAATATATTATAATAGTAGTAACTATAGACTGCCAGACTGCCAGCAATGAGGCCAGGCTTAAACAAGATGTGTTTGTGAAACACTATGCGCCCGGCGTCAACAAAGTTGAAAAAAGCTATTTTTAGTATATAGGTCACAGTCAAGGTCACAAGGTCATTGACCTTGGTTTTGTTTGAAAGAACTTACCGGTAATTAGTGGAGTATGCATACTAAATATGAAGTCCCCATCTCCTATGGTTCAAAAGTTATGGCAAAAAGTGGAAAAAGCTATTTTTAGCATATAGGTCACAGTCAAGGTCACAAGGTCATTGACCTTGATGTCATTTGAAAGAACTTTATTAGTGGAGTATACATACCAAATATGAAGTCTCTATCTCTTATGGTTCAAAAGTTTTGGCGAAGGTTAAAGTTGACAACAGACAGACAGACAAACACACAGGACAAAAACAATATACGCCCAGGATCTATCGATCCGGGCGCATAAAAATTCTTTGTTTGCAGTTGCCAACCTATAATTTTTAGACTGGGTAGGTAGGTAGGCATTCTTTTTTTGGGGGGGGAAAAATTGTTTCCAGATTTTTGTTAGATAACATAAAATAAAGTTTTTCATAGGCCTACTATACATGAATAATCTCCACTCTTGGTATAAACTACTGATTGATTATGACAAGAATTGACAATGAAACACTTTCAATATCCTGAAAATTAAAAAAAAAAAAATTACGAAGTGGCTAAAAAAAAAATTAGGTTGGGTGCATTTTCAGTGGGTCGGTAGGCAACTGCAAACAAATAATATTTCATTTTAGGCCTGAAAATAGCGGTATTATTAACTTTGAACGAGAAAAACTGAAATTGGAAGAATATAGAGAGAAATCATAAGGCGTATTTTAGACGCTGATTTCGTACCCTTTACGTCAAAATCGTAAGGGTTGGCAGCTCTGCAAAGCGATACATGTGTATTTTAAACTTATTCATATCATAGATAGAAGTCTAATGGGATTCAATACTTCACAGCCATTAATAGCTACTCTGAGGCCTACCCCATCCCATCCAAAAAATAAAATGTATATGTCACAGCCGCAATATATCTTTAACTCCATTAATAGACAACAATAACCAGAGGTCTCTGATGAGTCTGTAGCTCTAATGGTCTGTACTTGTAACAAAGGAAAAGTAGCACTTGGATTTGAAACTTTGCAACACGCAGCAATTAATAGAATTATATATCTTGGTGTAGTCTACTCTCCCAAATTATCATTGAAAGCAGACCAAAATTGTAGGAGGAGTGGGGTTTTAAAGGAATTTCTCTGAAATTTCTATTTTCAGTAACCATGCCAACAACAGTGTTCATTGAAATTAGTGTTGACAAATCGGACGATTTTTAGTAACCTGTTACTCGCTTCATCTTCCGATTGAGTACCCGGTTACTCGGATGATTTATGCTAAAAATGTGTATATCTATTATTTATCTTATTGTATACTTATTGGTAGTAGTACATGTAATGCACAAATATACTGCATATGGACATTATATTCACAATATATACAGTACACACATATGATTTACGATTTTTAAATAATGAATATAAAGAATTCGACACACGAAGAAGACAAATAAATACGTCATTGTCAATCACCATTTCACAATTGCTTTCGTTATCTTTCCTTTTCATCCCCTCTAAATTTGTCGCAATCAAGGAGTATAATTATTTACATACTCCATTATCAATAGTTAATATGTGGAGTGTCCAGTAAATCGCTGATTTCCTAATAATATTTCAAGCAGATTCAATAGATTTTGAATCAGCTTTTCTTTTTTTACAACTCCAAGGTTAATATACATGTCTGCGGCAGCATCTCGTTAAATTATCAAATGAAGTAATTATAACTCAGGCCTTCAAAAGATGTATACCCCAAGCAATCAAAGCTATATCAATTATATAAACTGTGAAAACTAATCAAAGCAATTTGATCCCCTACAACCATGAATTAGATCAAGTCTAACGGTACCTAAAATTAGGGAAATGTGTAAGTTAGTAATACATTTATAAATTATAAAACATTCATTTTCTATGCCTTTACTATGTAGAATTTATTTTATTCGAGTAAGTGAATAGCAGTTTTACTAACCGATACTTGCATCGTTCGACAGTTAACCGGTTAACCGGGTACTTGTTGCCAACACTAATTGAAATAAAAAAAAACTGATGCATTGAGTTATGTACCTTAGTGTTACTAGTGTAGTCTACTTGTGTGCCAAGTTACCGGGTATATTGAAATCAGATTAAAACTAAAGGAGGAGTAGTGTTTTGGAAAATTGTTTACAGACAGATGGATGGATGATGGAAACCTTACTATCGCATATTAAGATCTTCTGGTCTCTGACCAGTAGAGCTAAAAACTACAGCATTAAGTTTACAGCATAGAATAATATTCCTTTAACTTACTACAAAAGAAACAATTAACTAAAGACACTTACATATAAAATCATCATCATCTGGCACTTCAACATCCATGTAATTAAGTCTTTCTTTTATTCGAAGTGGATATTTACGTGGCTCTGTTTTGTTGGTCGATTTTATACTTTTTTCAGTCTAAATAATTAAGGAAAGGAATCAAATCAATCAATTATTAAAAATGTATTTAAAAAATACTATTTAGTATCCATCATGTACGTGTTCTATGTTTGCTCCGCTAAATTGATTTATAACTTCAATTATAAATTTTTTGTAATAATTATTCTCTTGCATTTATTTTATTTTTAGAGTGTACTCCTTGCAATATGAACATGATAGAGCACCAAAATGAACATTGGTAATTTAAAATATAAATTTTCAAAGAGGGAGACTAGCTATTACAATTCAGATCAAATTAGGATTTTGATAAAAAGAATTCCAGTATTCAAAATCAAATATGTGAAAAAGTTGAACAAGTGACCTGTTTTGTGACTGATTTTACAACTAGTATTAAGAAGCTGGATGTTTAAAAGTGCTTATTCTTTGTATATATGGATATCAATTACATGTAAGGACCCTGCTAAATTTTTTGAATTATAGATAAAATATTTTAAAATCATGGATATTAAATAGTCAAAACAAAAACCATTTATTTTTCATTTCATTTTCATAAATGGTTTTGGAATGGTTAATTTCCATGTTATAGGGCCCAATAAAAGGAGTTTGAATGGATATATTGATTGCATGAGGTTCAATGGCAATAAATTAAAAGAGTCAGAGAAGTGATCCATGGCCATTCTAAGACTTGAAAAGATCAACTCATTTGAGCAACTTTGGCCTTTGACCTTGATATTTGATTTACAGTGTACTTTTTATAAACTTCAACCATGGTCATACATGTATCTTTTGAATTAGAAGAGATAACTCTTTGGTATTACACATTTAAATTACATGTGACAAAACATTTATGAATTACACTATGATTTTTGATCTTGTGACCTTGAAGTTTGACCTAGTTTTCAAAAATGTTAATTTTTCCTTATAACATTTGATTTAGAAGAGAGGGCTTTCAAATTTGACATACATGTGCATTACCTGTGACAAGATATTTTCAAGTATGCTATGATTTCTGACCCCTTGACTTAGACCTTCATGATTGACCTAATTTTTTTAAAAATCAACTTCGAGGATAACTTCTAAAATCGCATGATAGGGCATTCATATTTGACACAATACTTGGATGTCATAATAAAATGACTTCTCACCCACAAAGATACCAAAAACATGCGACCACAATTCTACGATAACTTAGGCCATCCTTAAAAAAATCTTTTTTTGCGGTAACGCGCCTCCTCATTTTAGGTGTGAGTAGGTAGGTAGGCTTTTTTTTTTTTTTTGGAGACAAAATGTCAGAAATAAATTTCGATTATATAGTTCTAGGTATTAACTATGTCTTAGATTTCACCTTACTAATCAAACAAGAAAATCAAAGCATTCAAATGAATTCAATCTTTTATTGCCCAAATATAAGAACACATCAGTTCTTTTTTAAAAACGGCGTAGGTGCAATGGAGATGTAAAAAAAAAATCGGATAAAAACAGAAAATGGATATGTAAAAAAAAAAAAAAAAAGATTTTTGAACCGATAAAAAAAATCCAGTAGGGTAGATTTTGGTGATTCGGTTGCGTTACCGCAAAAAAACATTTTTTTAAGGATGGCCTTATTTTGGAATATGATTCTAATTTAAGAGCCTTGATATTTTGAATGTAATAGAAAAATCTACATTGATTATGCAGTAAACATTAACAATATAAATGTACATATAATATACATTGTACAATAAATACTTACTTACACAACAATGTACAATATACATTGTACAATAAATACTTACTTACACAACAATCTTTTAGTACCTTTATTTTCCTGGGTTTCTTTTCCTTTGCCTCCTTTACTGGGACAGAAAACCTAACTGTCTGTTTCTTTTCTATTAAAAAAAAAAAAACCTTTATGTTTTAATATGAATATGGAATGTTTATCATAAACAGTATCTATGATCTATATAATGTACAAAATTGTAAGACTCGACGTGGTAACAGGTCTATGCTATATGTTTACATGTACATGTGGATTAGTCCTAAAACACTGTGTTATTAATACACTTAAATGTGAACAGACTAAAAGAGAGCAAATTATGGAGGGGAATGAACCAGAGAAAATCTAACAAGAAAAAAGTGAGCATTACAGTGTAGATATTGATTGAATGCAAAATACATGTAGTAGAATATTTTAGGTACTGTACCCCTCGTTGATTTGTAAGGCGTCCATTCCTCATCGCTGTCTGATTCCACTTTCTTTGGTTTTCTTTTTGCTCTAGATCTGGGTCCCTTCATGAACTCAGGCATCACGGCAGGTAATCCTGAAAATATTAAATTCTATATAGATATTATAAACTCTAAGAGTCAATTAAGAAATTGCTTAATAGCGCATTTGTATGCAACCAAAAACCATAATGAACAGTGCCTGGAGCTGTGCCCCTTTTGTTGCATCTTCAGAATGATTATGTCAAATGATCTTTGAAAGAAATATATATATGTATATAATTATATGTATTTTTCATAATTTAATGATGGTATACTTACCAACAGCCAACATTATCTCGTAGTTCTTCCTCATGTTTTTGTATCTAAGCATTTCAATATTAGACAGTTTGGCCAGCTCAGCCTTGGAGAAATATTCCTCTACACTGTATTCTCTGTTCTCAAGTTCTTTGATGACTTCGTCACTTGGGAAATCCATTTTGAGCTAAACAAGTTAAACAACCTTTTAAAAATCAATCAAAAGTAACTTCAATAGGGTTATATTCAAATACTTACTGTAACATATAAGTACTCAAAAAAAGAAGAAGAGAAAAACAATCGAGAAATATTAATAAAGTTAGAAAGTCAAACTATAAGCACTCATCTTTGACCAGTCTAAGGAACACAATTTAAAAAAATCATTTTAAGGGGGGCCTCTTCAGAAGTCAAATGAGCTCTGTTTATTTCAGGGGGGACCTATGTCGTTCTACGTCAAAACAGCGTTATCTTATGTGACGTCACAATAGCGACGTTTGTTTTTACCTGTTGACTTTTGCAACTGTGATATAGGCTTAACATTGTTTTAAATAATCAATAACATACACAGTTGCCAAAAAGAAAGTTATACATCATTAATAGCAGTTTTATTTGATTAATTAATTTGTTAATTTTACAAATCTCTTCCTTTGGTTGATAATTCATTGATTGAAAATAAGTCGATATTATGCTGGTATAAGTCCAAAAAGATAAGACAAGATTCAGCAAAGAAAGCGGCTTAAATCAGGAAAATATGTTTAAATAATAATTTTATGTTTACCAATAATTGTATTTTCTCGAAAAAACTAAGAAAAAACTAAAAAATGTACTTGTACCTATATTTGCTTATTGATTAGTGCATTTAGATTTAATTGTATAAAGTCATTCCTAAGTTAATTCTTATAGGTGTTGGTAATGCCGGGGAAGGGGGGGGGGGCAGAATAATTGGAATCAAAAAGAAAAGATTAAATCAGTGTAAATTGTTACTAATCAAAACAAAATACTTGTCTTCTGCAAAATAGTTTTATATTCAGATGTTTCAGTTTGCCAGTGCTAACTTGCCTTTGTCTAAGTGCAGAAAGGTCATGACACAAGTGAAGAGTATGGAAATAAAAGAAAACTTCATTATATTTCTCGTTATTTTAATCATAAAGGTACACTTTTTTCGTTAGTAGAATAAAGATATACCGGTAATTCATTTCTTTCTAAAAATATGAATTACAACATTTTCACACAAAGACTTTTTAAAGATATTTCCTTTTATGCATGTCGGAATTGAAAAATTCGACAAGAAAAATAGGTTAATACTTACATTGTGGGCTTTTATAATTTTTCATGCGAGATGAATTACGATGATTTTGCCTTCATTTTAAAATACAAGTCAAATAATTAAAGTACCTGTTGATTTTGAATGTAATTTGACATTTTTATTCATTTTAGCGCATATTTCATAATTTGGTGTAGAATAATAATGTCTGAAAATAATATATTTTTAGCATTTCACACTGTTTTTGCACCTGCTCCTGTGTAAAAATAAGCATATAAAGGTATTGTTTTTAATACCTTAAAATTAAGAGCAAGTGGCCTTGAAAGAAGTGTCAAAGTTTTACAAATTTCATACAAAGATTTTCCGGACATTGGTCCCCCTTAAAACAATGTTTCTAGTCAAGACGTTACGTAAAAGGGGGGGGGGGATGAAAATAAAGAAGCCATCCTCATCAGCCTCATGAAAAAAAATGTTCAGAAACATGGTGATCATCTGTACAAAACTTTCTCAAGTTTTCTATTGTGAAAGAGAAAACAAAGATTGCTTAAATCTACACGGCCCGACATTTAAACTAAAGGGCGGTTTCGTTTAAAGTAAAAATGTTGTTACCTCGACTCAAAAATAGTAAAATAAAAGATGCACCACAATATAAATGTGTTAATCTTTTTGATTTCTTATGTCAATTTACCTGCTTATCCGACTATCGAGCCAAATATTGGAAATGTTTTCAGTTCGGTGATCCGGTGACCTTCTTCGTTCTATGTGTAAAAGCAGACGACAGGAATAATTTTTTGACGGTCGAACCCGATTAAAATAAAATTTAGCGCGTGAATTTTCCATCGAACTCGTATAAAAATGAATGTAATTAGGCAGGATGAAAGTCTTCCATATCTAAAAATTGATTGATTATTCTCTTAAATGAAAGGAGTCATTTTTTAAATCTTAATTTTTGGATGATTCGTAAAGAAATACGCATGCTAGCTCTCGTTTCCCGCCTACATTTTGCAACCATTTCATTTAAACAATAAAATGCTTTCTTTGTTTGTTGTTACTTGAATGAACGGAAGCAGCTGTTGCAGAAAAAATACATAACCCGCGTAATCGGGTTATGTTAATTTTTTCTGCAATAGATGCGACCGTTCATTCCAGTAACAACAAACAAAGAAAGCATTTTATTGTTTATATTTATATCTGTTTAAATAATCATTTAAAATTTGAATAAAAAGGTTAATTAAATTGTATTAATGATGCAAACATCTTTATACGTTTCATTGATGGAACAGCCACTGATCAAGAAATCTGTACTGGCGACATGCCAAATGTAGTTCATGCAGTGATGAACGCAATGGGTTTTCGTAAGAAATAAAGGGGAAATTATTCAGTGGATGTAAATATTCAACCTTAAATAGCAATTTGTCAATATATATATTCTTTGTTTAATACAAAGAACAGTTCAATGAAATTGGTGATTTGTCTTAGTAAATTATCCATTCCTCTAGCTCTCGAAAAAAAGGGGGTGGGGGGGGGGGGTAGATGAAATTTTCCATTGGAATCGGACTTTCAGGAATCATCATATTTTGAAATAGTCTTGGATATGATTAAATGTTCCTTATATCTTTTCTAATGATTTAGGCAAATTAATAGAACATAAATATACTAGGATAATGTTTCAGTTGTAAATCACTTTTCCGTTGATTTCTAAAGTACTTCACCTAGCTCATCCCCAGGAAATAGGATTTTTGTGAGTTGACAAAGGAATTATATATATTTTCCTTTATTTTTTTCTCTTTCTCTCTTTGCTTGTCATTATTTGTAGGTCTGAAAAAAAAATTCTCTTACACTTACCCCCCCCCCCCTTTCAATTAGCTTCCGACGCCAATGTCTTGTTTTTACGAATCGGACTTTCAGGAATCATCATATTTTGAAATAGTCTTGGATATGATTAAATGTTCCTTATATCTTTTCTAATGATTTAGGCAAATTAATAGAACATAAATATACTAGGATAATGTTTCAGTTGTAAATCACTTTTCCGTTGATTTCTAAAGTACTTCACCTAGCTCATCCCCAGGAAATAGGATTTTTGTGAGTTGACAAAGGAATTATATATATTTTCCTTTATTTTTTTCTCTTCTCTCTCTTTGCTTGTCATTATTTGTAGGTCTGAAAAAAAAATTCTCTTACACTTACCCCCCCCCCCCTTTCAATTAGCTTCCGACGCCAATGTCTTGTTTTTACGATTATTTTACTCGATCATCATCATTGTTTAGTTATGTGTTTATTATTAATTGTTAATAATAATAATGCACATCATGTTTACACAACAACACATAGTGCATTATATCTACAATTGAAACTTTAAAATGCAATATATACTCAGTAACTTAATGGAAGAATTGCTCTTCATCATATGTTGTATTCTGTCTATAACTTTATCATGTTTATCTGTATAATTATTATATATGTTACAGTGTTTTTGTTTATGCCCAATAGGCCATGATATCGATTTAGTAATAAATCATATTTTATACCAGTGGCGGATCCAGGAATCTTGTAAAGGGGGGGGGTGAGGTCGGAGGAGGGGCGCACAACCACACCAAAAATTAGTTTATTAAATCATTTGTATATTTTGGAAACAAAATAAGGGAGAGGGTTTGGCCCCCTTCTAAATCCGCCATTAAGTTGAGTTGAAACATTCCAGCATTGCCCTATATTTTCTGGTGCTATTGAATGACCATTACTCTTTCAACGGTATATAATGCCAATGGCTATTTTTACCTATTTGGTCAAATTCAGACATGTGATACATGTCATGTGGTTTAAAGAACCAATGCGCTTAAATACTGCAGAATTTTCCCCGCTAATGGTGAATTGCCTTTGTTCATCGAAAAGACAGATTTCTTTGAGGAAACGTCAAATTAGTGTCTATGTTAAGTTCACTGTCTCTATATTATGAAGTCTGCCATATCAGGGACCTATATGTTAGTATATATAGGACCCTGGCCATATTAGAAACATCCTGACAAACCTGAAACCTGACAGATTATTGGTATGTATGTATATGTATATATATAGTATACCAGACATATTCATGCAATTTTATTGAGTTTGCCCCGCTCCATAAACATGATAAACACAGTGACGGAGGAAAAATCTTGACAGTGTGGGGGAAGGGGGCAGTTTGGGGTAGGGGCCCACAGCCACAGATTTATAAACTCATGCATATTTTGGATACGGAGAGGGGGGGGGGGGCTGGTCCCCCTCTAAATCCGCCAGTGAAACAGGTTATTATGGGATAATCTTTTGAAGTATAAGGTTCTTATCATAAGTTAATGTAATGTGAAACAGTTGCATTGAAATGTATTATTCTAGTATTACGTAATATTATATATAATATGAATTATATTAATTTTCAATATATATACATGTACTTTAATGCAATCAAGGGAAATAACTTGTAAATTAATTCAAAATGAAAGGAGATAGCAAGAGCTATGTCCTTGTAATATGCATATTACCTTGTAAGTTTATTGTTAATTTGTATGCCGCTGTAATCAAGATCTAGTGGTGTATAATTTTTGTTCTGTCCGTCCATCTGTCTGTTTATTTGTTTGTCATTGTCAACAAAAACTAACTTTGCCCATAATTCTTTTATTGGATTTGCTATATAGCTTTCTTATTTCACAGGTGTATTCCTTGTGACATCTTTCTTAGGGTCTTGACCTTGACCATAGATTTTGACCCACTTTAACAACAACCAACCCCCCAACTTTAACCTTGGCCATATCTTATGAACAATTGGTGCTTGGGCTTTCATACTTCACATATATGTATTCAAAGTGATTAGACCTTTCAACACAGGTTTTTAAAAAAATTGACCTTTTGACCTTGACCTTAAAATTTGGCCCACTTTGTAA